ACTACATTAGAGAGACTGGCAAACGACTATGAACCCGTCTTGGAGAACACATTAGGGCAGTAAGTAGGATGAACCCCTTGTCTCTGGTGGGGGAAAACTGAGCAGACAATGAATACACGTTCGACTTTCAGAATACCGAAGTTCCGGGTACAGGAATTGACTGCTGACCTGGGGAGACAACCAAGGACTGGCACGCGGGATAACACCATCAACCGTATTATGGCGCTTCCCGCGGTCTGTCAAGTCCTTACGAACGTATTTCAGTGAACAACAGAACAGACGCGAACCCAGGCCAAACATAAATCCAAGAACGGCGAAGCCATGGTCGACACGCATGTGATCACAGCACAACCCGAGCCTGACGAAGGCGCAGCTGTATCATCCACTAATCCAGCGGACGAGAAAATAGACAAAAAAGATTGCCAAATTAGGATGACGACCAAGATCAATTGGGGGTGCGGGAGACGGCTGTTGACGTCTGGACACTGACTCCCGACGAGAGGCATCTACACCAAGAGCATTACATCACCATACTTTCCCTTCCTCCGTCCGACACCGGCCCCGTGCGGACGAGGGCCACCAAAGTCAAACGACTATGCTCCATCAAGCGACTCCTTCCTCCCTGCAGCTCTAACCCGTTTTAACATGACTGTCACCACCTATAAATACTTCGAGGCGCGGTACCACACTCATCCCCGACCATGGAAACTTGTATGCTTTCGAAACATCCGGATAATATAACTGCTCTTCCACAGATAGTCTTTTATTCTCATATAGATGTATATATAATGGTAGAGGGGCGCTCACCGTCCGTAGGGTCTTAGGGCTCTCTCTCTTGAGCCCAACCAGCAGCCACACAGCGGCACACGAGCTAGGCAGAATGGTATTACCTACAAAGACAAGGGAGACTGGAATGGCCACTTCTGGCTTATTAGTCGTCGTCAGCCAGTCATACCCAACCCCGAAATGTGGAACACCCGAGGCTTGAGCTCGCGACCTGTTGGTTAAAAGTCCAACGCCTCTAACCACTGGGCCACAGGCTCGTTGTCTTGTCGGTTGTTATCGGGAACATACAATGGTAGAGCGACGCTCACCGATCGATGTATATATGTATGTGTGTATGTAGATGTATCTTTACTGGTAACCGCCGCAAAAATACACGTCTTCGGACATAACTAAGAAGGTAGGGCGACCGCTGGAGCCATTGTTTTATTGCCTTGGCCTTACGAAAGCGAACGGGCTTCCATCCTCGGAGATAGGTTACGTACGGCGCTCCACAGTATTTAGTGGGCTTGTCGTGCTGGCATACTGTTGACTTTAAGGTCGTCTGTTTGCTGCACTGCGGGGAGAGGTTGGCTTTTGTCATGAGAGTAGAAGTTGCTCCCATCCTGTCGCCGGGTTGACAACGACGATTGCTGTCGTTCGCACTGTCCGCATTTGCTGTTCACGTTCCGTGTATCTCGCCTTCATATGCTGTTCGCACCTGTCCGCAAACGTGTGGGCGACGGTTTCCACGTTATTGTCGACATCTCTGGTACTGTCGGGCTGAACATCTAGGAACGATATCTGCTTGCTGTTCTCCGCCTCCGTAGCGAATTGAATATCAGGAAAACAGAGTTCGGGAACGCGTGAAATTTCGAGAACATTCCCCGCTTGAGGACTACAAAAAACACCGTCCAGACATCGCACCCAGAATGTTGGCCTGTAGGTTACGAAAACCAACGCCTCTGTTCTTTAGGAGACCGCCTCTGCAATGGAATCAGACAGCAGCGATCACATCGGCGTACCTTTGATTTACTTGTACACAGTCCATTCAAAGCTGAGCTACGTTTTGAGGTACTACTTGAGCAGCTGCATGCGATGTCACCGTTTAGGCGTCTTGCTTGCTCCGTCAACTTGGCTGTCAATAAGGTTGCCAACAATTTCAGCGGCCAGATCCTGTAGGGCCGAGATGAAGTGTGGATCAAAATCAGATCCCTAGGAATTAGTTGCGTAGCTACTAGTAGTATAGCAAGATAAGGTGTTAGTAACGAAAACAAGGAAGATCTAAATGGCCGTTTCTGGTTTATCAGTCGGTCATCAGCCAGTCATACCCAAAACGTGACGCTCATTCAATGAGAATCTTGGCGGCTGATGAGCGTATCATAGGCAATATGTTTGAGTCCTGGTTCTCCAGTTTGAATTAAGTCATTCGACACAAAAGCATTCCACGGACATCGGCTGCCACCACGCCAGGTGGACATGGAGGGATACGCCGAGTGATAGCCAGGGTCAGTAGTTAACAAATAACGACCGGCAGCATCTGTTAATAATTAGAAAACCAATGGCCCAACAGTCAAATACTTGCATGCTAAAATTTCCTGTATGTATTTTATCTTGTGGCCTCCAGCTGAGATCGTGGAATTTGAGAACATAAATCGCATTTGAAGAAGAAGACACGATCGCCGGGACAAGAGCTTTATTAGCCTGACCTTTCGGATTCCTGCTCGAATCCATCATCATCAGAGACAAAAGCAGATAAGGGTGGTTCATGCATATGCGGCTGCAGTATTTATAGGATGCAGTAGCCATGCTACCGCATACCTATGAATATTCACGGCTCTCGCCCCCTTCATCAGGGATCGTTGCACATGGCGTGATGGCCGACGTTCACGTCGTTAATTGTTGCAATTTCATCACGTGCGTTGGATGTTGGTGTGATGATCGCTCGACCATCTGACGCGGTGACGCGGGTGTTGGGAAGAGTGTTCACCTGTGCGCTCCCCGCGTGGCCAATTACTCCGCCTAGACGAAGTCTCAGCACGGAACCACCCTGATCTGCTTTTGTCTCTGATGATGGATTCGAGCAGGAATCCGAAACGTCAGGCTAATAAAGCTCTTGTTCCGGCGATCGTGTCTTCTTCTTCTTCTTCTTCTTCTTCTTCTTCTTCTTCTTCTTCTTCTTCAGGACTGCTTCCTGAGACTCGTCTCTTCGCTTCTATTGGCGATAAATCGCACTTTCCATAGATAAAAGTGCTGTTGAAAGTAAAGCATGTGTGCCTGGCCTGCTAATAACCAAACAACAAACGAACCTAAGCTATAGGCAAGTTCGACTGGACCTTTATTCCGTGTCCATTGCTTGTGTGGCAATCTGCTCTCGAGGTCGCCGGCGCTGTCGTGGCTCAACACTCCCCATCAATTAAATGCTCACTCTGCGTGTGACTCAGTCCGTCGTACCCGTCGTGCCAATTGCTCATTGGCCAAAGGCGGACAGAGCTCAGACGCCCGCCCGCCCGCCCGCCCGCACGCACCTCGCGCTGCGGTTACGAACAGCAGCGGCTGTCGACCCGCTGAACAATTGCCGCCACTGCCTTCTGAGCCGATTGTATTTACCCTTGCCGTAGCAATGACCGTCCCACTAACTCTATATCCCTGACTTGTGATTAGGGAAGTGTAGTTCAGCTCGCTGGGTGTGCCACAGGGAAACGAAACTAAGTTGGGAACTTGCTGAAACCTGGGAGGAAATAAGACCCACTTACTCGACGACCAGAGAACCTTATCTGGGAAAACCGGCAACGGGGAGGTAAACTGTCACTTGGAGAAGAGAAACCCATTACCTGTGAGACTAATACATCATCAAATCTGATTTTTCCCATAAAATCGCATCATTTTCTTCAGTGCCAGGATGAAATTCTAGTTTACGGTTAAATCAGATCCCATGCGAACGAGGCGACCGGTGGAAATACCACACATTCAACCAAATCTAGGAAAGCGACGTTTGTTTACAGCGACAGGCTTGGCGTAATGGACGATGAGACCCACATAAACCTGATAATGAACACCCTTTCCAACTGCGGTCCATGACGTCAGACTACATGTGCTATTCGCTACCATTCAGCAAAATTTCGCAGAGATGCTTTCGCTAATGGTTCGCTGGAAACGAAAGTCCATACGTGGATGGAGAGTTATATTGACAAACGGAGGGTCAGATAAGTCTACGATTCACTAGAAAGTTTACGCCCAACCCTTCCAGTTGATGCTGGAGGACAAGAACTTGACGGCGACCAGAAAGATGTAATAATACGTCTTTCAGTCTCATAGTATTCTGCGTCGTTAGGGG